GTCCCCACACACCCCTCCCTTTGCCTTCTGTAGAGGGCCTGTCCGGCAAGCAGGGGTCAGCTGTGTGGATGGCCCACCTTTGTGCCTCCAGGCCGAGGCTCGTGCTGGACACCCGATGCCCATGCTGGGCAGGTTTGCTGAGTTCTGGAATTCTTCCTGTGGCCCCTTGGCCGGAGGACAGGCATACGTCTCAGTGGCCTGCCTCTCCCAGTCTTTGGCCCACCAGGGCTGTCGGTGTAAAGAGTTTGGGGTGGCAGGGCTTATTTTGGTGGTGTGAGTGGTGATGGTGTGAGTGTGTAATCTTAGCGGGACACCATAAATAGTTAATTGGCACTTCTTTGCCATCGGGCTCGCTCTCTGCCCTCCCTTCCCATTCCTCAAGGTCTGTGCTGTCCCTACGGGCAAGTGGCTGGTGAGCACTGAAAATATCACATTTGAGATATGCTATAAAAGTGTATGCTAGATTTCAAAGGTTTGGTATGGAAAAAAGAAATTTCATTAATACTGTTCTATGTTGATGACATCCTGAAATGATAATTTGGTTATGCCAGATTAAATTCAGTATTTAATTTCACCTGTTTCTTTTTGTGTATTGGGACAGAATTCACATAAGCTTAGCATTACCATGTTAATCATTTTACAGTGTATCATTCAGCAGACTACAGTATGCTCATGATGTGGTGCAGCTTTCGGCACCATCTCATTTCAGAACATTTTCATCACCCCCTAGAGAAATCCCGCACCCATGAAGCAGGCGCTCCCCATTTCCGCTTTCTCCCACCCCTGGCTCCCACTAATTTACCTTCTGTCTCTCCAGATTTGTCTGCTCTGGGCATTTCCTATCTGCAGAATCCTACATTTTGTGGCCTTTGTGCCTGGCTTCTTGCACTCAGCATAGTGTTTTCAGGGCTCACGGCATGTGTCAGGACCTCGTTCCTCTTTACGGCTGCGCCATGTTTATCCATTCTTCACTCGATGGACATTTGAGCTGTTTCCACCTTTTGGCAGTTATGAATAATTCTGCTGCGAACGTCTGGGGACAAGTGTCGGACGAACATATATTTGTGATTCTCTTGGGTATAAACCCAGGAAGAGGAGTACTGGGTCATGAGACAACTGTTTAACTTTTGGGGAAACTGCTGAGTCGCTTTCCACAGTGAGTGACCGCCATTTCCCGTTCTCCTCAGCTGCATCTCAGGGTTCCAGTTTCTCTGCACTTTCTCCACATCCTTGTCCATACTTATTTTCCTTTTTGCTTTTTATTTATTAATTTTTAACTTGCAGCTCCATCTGCATGTGTGACACGGTGTCTTCTCGTTTGGATTTGTGTTTCTGGGGGTGGTGGGCATTTCTCTGGGGCTTATTGGCCATTTGTGTATCATCTTTGGGGGAATGTCTGTGCCAGTCCTTTACCCAGTCTGTTTCTCTTCACTTTAATGTGACTACTAGAAATGGTGAGCTTTCCATATGGGACGGACATTTCCTTTCTCTTGGATAGCGCTGCTCTGGGAGGTTTCCGAAATTGGTGAGGGGGACGGGAAAGACGAAGGAATATTTCATATTCTTCCTTCATTCTGCGTGTCCTTCACAGGTCACCAAGATTGCTTTCCACTTTGAGGTCCTCTCCCCAAGGCACTAACAGGAGGGTCATTTCATAGAGCTTCTCCAGGCACCGTGGGGTCAAGGGTTAGATAGTCTGAGGGGCCTGTGAGTCCGGCTTAAGTGAAAGGGGCCTCTGGCCTTCAAAGCAGATTATTTCAATGAGCAAAACAGAGCGGTGGGGTGGGGGGGGGGCTTTTCTCCTTTATCACGTGATCTGCGTCCCCCTTGCAGTGAGCTTTCCAGAAGTTAGGATCTTAAAAAGTTAGTCATTTACATTTTATGGAGCTTTTAGAGTGGTAGAATTTATTGTCAAATTACTGCTTTGAAAATTTACTTAAATGTCATGCTTCTTTTTCTTGGAATCTAACGCGGAAATAGCTTGATCGAATATACTCGTTTCTCAGAACGGTTTTAATACGCTTGTGCATGGGTGGTTCATCCTGCAGTCTTCTGAGTTCAGTTTCTGGTTACGTTCTGGCGGCATTAGTGATGGCGAGCGTCCCCGGGGACGGTCCACACACCCTGGGAAGTGCAGCTTCGCCCAGAGTCACTCTGACCAAAATGTGAAAAATTAGCGCAACAGATGACTGGATAAAGAGAATGTGGCAGCTACATAAGGGTTGTTTAGAGTAGAATATAAAATTCATTTAAAAATAGTATTATTTAATGCAGATTTTTTTCTTGAATCTCCGAAAAGCTAGAAGCATTTGCATTGTTCCCTGAAAATGATTTAACAAGATTTTCAATAAATATAAAACTGCATATGAAAGATCTTGATGGCGTTTTATGATCCTTTTCTCATTTACTTCAGTGCCGACTGTAGTTTTCCATGCATAAGTAAGCAGGTGGGGGAAGATAACTAAAATATCTTTTCTTTGGAAGCTTAGAGTCGCATGGGAGACAGACATTTCCTCAGATAGTTAACAGACTCCAGTGTGGGGTTTTAGGAGTGGGGCCAGGGGGTATGAGTGGAGAAGGAATGATGGAGAATGTCCTGGGGGAGCCTGTGTGGCTCAGTTGGCGAAGCCTCCAGCTCCTGCTTACGGCTCAGGTCACGATCTGAGGCTCATGAGATCGAGCCCCGTGTTGGGCTCCATGCTGGACGTGGAGCCTGCTTGAGTTTCTCTCTCCCTGTGCCCCCTCCCCTCCCTCCCCTGCCCCTGCTCGTGTGCGCTTTCTCTCTAAATACATATATATATAGGGACACCTGGGTGGCTCAGTTGGTTCAGCGGCTGCCTTCGGCTCAGGTCATGATCCTGGAGTCCCGGGATCGAGTACCGCATCGGGCTCCTTGCTCAGCGGGGAGTCTGCTTCTCCCTTTGACCCTCCCCCTTCCTGTGTTCTCTCTCTCTCTCTCTCATTCTCTCTCTCTCAAATAAATAAACAATCTTTTAAAATAAATACATACATATACATATATATATATATATATATATATATGTATATGTATATTCGAATGGAATCAGACAGTATTTGTCCTTCCGTGACTGGCTTATGTGGCATCGCACAGTGTGCTCAAGGTTCATCCATGTTGTAACGGTGTATGGCAGACATTTTTTTTTTTTTTAACGCTGCATGATATTCCGTTGAATGAGGCTGCCACATTCTCTTTATCCAGTCATCTGTTGAGGATGGGTTGCTTCTAGCTCTTGGCTGTTGTAAGGAGTGCTGCTATGAACCCACAGGGGTGAACATCTCTTCAGGATTCTGCTTTGAGTTCTTTTGGCTCTAGACTTAGAAGTGGGACCATGGGATCCTGTGGTCTTTTGTGTCTGTGTTGAGCTTGTGCAAGTCTCTCCCGAGTGCAGCAGGCCTTCCCTGCGCTGTGCCCGTCTGACTCCCTGCTGCGTGCGCCACTGAGGGGTGTCTGCTCTCCCCTGCCCGCTAGGGTATCTGCAGACACTCCTCTTGATAATCTTTCCCTGAGATACCATCGCTGTGACTTCCTTCCTTTTTTTTTTTTTTTTATTCATTTGAGACACAGAGATAGCATGAGCAGGGAGAAAGGCAGAGGGAGAGGGAGAAGCAGGCTCCCTGCTGAGCCAGAAGCCCGATGTGGGGCTCAATCCCAGGACCCTGGGATCATGACCTGAGCCGAAGGCAGACACTTAACCATCTGAGCCACCCAGGTGCCCCACTTCCTTCTTTTGTACCAGGAAATGTTCCGAGTCCTCAGATCTCCCAAAATAAACATGGTTTGTTTGGCCACATTTCATTTCTGGGCACACCCCTGTACTCCAGAAAGCTCTGTCCAAGCCACAGAAAAAGTAAGGGCTGGACAGAGGTCCAGGAGGAAGCCAGAGGCGCAGACATAGGAGACGGTGCAGTTGTCATTGTCCCCCGTTAGGCAGGACCCAGGCAGAAACGTGTCCCCAAGTTGTGGGCCGCGTGTCCTGGTTGTGGTATCTTGCAAGCTTTGTTGCTTATGACACGGTATGAAATGTGCACATTTCACGGTGTGCACAGCTCTGTGTGTACAAAACAGCGGCCGTGTGATGTGCTCTAATAGTGAAGATTCCAGTCCCCTCTTTGTCAGGTTTTTGTTTGCTTTAGGCTCAGGGTACAGCCCACTAGCCTGGTATCCTGCTGGGGGGTTAGATCCCAGGTCAGCAAGTAGTGAGCAACAGCTTGCTTTCTGGATCAGGCTTTGCCTGTTGGCTGTGAAGAAAGCCCTGTGGCCTTGAGTCTCTTAAGCAATCTGTGCCTCAGTTTTCTGCCCTCTAAAATGGAATAATGTGCTGCCTGCCTCTTAGAACCTGGGGTGAGGAGTAAGCGAGCGAGCGGACTGCAGAGCTCAGAAGGGCACCTGCAGACCGTGGCCACTCGCTCACGCTCACGGGCTGCTTGTGACATACGCTCCACACTCCCTTTCCTCACTTTCCCCTCGGTTTTCACTGTTCCCCGAGTCCTGTGTTGTTCCTTCCTCTTCCTCTGTTTTCAGCCTCCCCGGCTTGGTGTCACTTCGTGTGAGCCCCTCTGTCCCCCCCCACCCCCACTGGCAGTAAGGAGCCCTTCCTCTGCTCTGCTCCCCACCCTGGGGTGCAGTCGGACCTGTGGCTCAGGATGTGACTGCGCCCGGCCCCCCAAAGAAAGTCCAGCTTTCGTGAAGGGGAGCATGTCTGGGGCAAAAACAGCGAGAGGATCCATTTAGCCCTTGCTCGGGTTATAGGCTGTTGTTGGGACAGCAAACCTCTCCCCGTGTGAGCGCCTTTTCCGGCTGCAGCGGTATCTGAGAGCTCAGCGGGAGAGCTGTGCCCAGTCCCTCCAACAGCTGCTGGGGTGCGGCAGGTGGGGCGGGGGTGTTGCTGCTCCCTTTTCCCAACGGGAACATCTTATCAAGGCTCTTCTAAGTTGTTAGTTTGCAGGCACGTTTCATTCTATGTTTATCTTCCTTGCAGGCCGTTTTGGTGAATAATATCACCACAGGTGAGAGGCTCATCAGAAGCCTGCAAGGTGAGTTCTAATCCCCTCCTTTACACCAGATGTTAGGCCTTTTAGGAAAAGCCCGCCTTTCCTTTTGTCCCTCTCTAGCAGCTCTCCTTCTAATCTAATGATGGGTAGGATCACGAGTAATTGAGTAATCTTTACTGTATTCTTCTTGCCAAATTACAGTTCCTTAAAGAGGTTTTTCCTTTTAAAAATGTTGCTGAACACATTGTAAGGTGTTAGGTACAGAATTCAGATTCTCAGTTTTTGATAGGTTAAGAAGTATACAGAACAGATCACCTATCACATACATATAAAATATGTGTGGTATATATAGGATTTCTTTTAAATGGGCCACCCTGAATTCAGATTTCCCTTATGAAAATTGTAAAAATTATCTAGCCCAATTTAATTCCACTTCTTTCCTGCCCTGATTCAGTTTGGCAGCCAGGGCTGGTTTCCGTCAGGCCCTGGGAAGCAGCGGTGATGAGGGCAGTCACGGGGTGAGCCCCTCTGTGGTCGGCTCCCCCTTCCGCTCTGACTGAGGGGCTCCGCAGGCCCTGGGTGGTCCTGGGTCTTGGTGAAAGGGGGTCTCATGAGGCCTCCCTTTGCCGGGGGTAGGAAGCTCCCATGGGCCCCCCATCCTCACTTCTGCCTCTGGGACGGGAAGGTCTGTCTAGAGCCATACCATCCAGAGTGGTGGCCACGAGCCATGTGACCAGTGAACCCCTGAAACGTGGCTAGTGGGATGGAACTGGATTTTAAATTTTTGTGTAATTTTCAGTGATTTAAGTTAGAGACTGAAACTCGACTCTGTTGGGAGCACTAAGCATTTACAACTTATATATTAGTCTACTTTTTAACTGTACATTTGATGAAACCTAAATTCAGATCAAGCATTCCCAGTGCAGATTTAACGTCTGGATAGAGATATGCTCTGATTGTACACACCAGATTTCAGAGACATAGTATGAAAGAATATAAAATATCTCGTTCATAATTTTTTTTATATTCATTGTGTGTTAGCATGATAATGTTGCATAGCTGTCGAGTTCAATCAATTGTATTATTAAAAGTAATAATACACCTGGTTTAGATCTTAGAAATGTGGTTGCTAGAAAAATTACCTACGTGGCTTGCCTTGTAGTTCCGCTGGACAGTGCTGGCCTAGGATTCTCATTCCACATCTGGTTCTAAGACTATGAGTAGGGGAGATTCAGGGTTATACAAAGTTACATGGGTCACTGGACTGCTGGGGGCTTTGTAGACCTCCCCTTTCTTGTCTGGCCTTTTGAGATGCATCCACGTTGTGGATGTCAGATTATTCCTTCCTTTGCCGAGCAGTATTCCCTCACCCCATACTTGGTTTGCTTGTGGGAGTTTTCTTAATGTGCAGTTTATTGAGGTGTAACTTACACCTACTAAAGTGTACCCTTTGTGGTATAGAGTTCTGTGTTTGGACAAATGCACAGTCCCCGGGACCACCACAGCCACGACCAGACCCTGTCCCTCCGGGAAGTGCCCCCCCAACCTTTTGTAGTCAGTCCCCTGCCTCAGCCTCCAGCTCCCCAGGTGGTTCTACGACCCCAGAGTTTTAACTTTTCAAGCATCTCCTAGAGCTGCTTGTGAGATGGAGCCTTGTTGCTGTGTGTTTGGCATTTCATTGAGTCCTTCACTTTCATTTCATTTTCCCGCTAGAGAGCCCTGTAGGTGTAGAGTTACAGGGACAAACCTCGGGGATGCGGGTGTGTGTCCGGAACTGAGTCCCAGGCCCCAGTGGCGGCCTTGTGGCCACTCTGCTGTCACCTCTGTGGCAGCCTTGGTCTGGCGCTTGGTCAGCGGCTGCTATTTCTGCAAGGCTTTTAGGAGCCGAGAGGCCAGGGCAGCAGGGCTGGCTGATGAATCTCCTCAGGGAGGCTGCCGTTTCCCAGATGGGGGCAGGGGAGGTGGGGTGATTGGATGAGCACAGGCCTCCGGGAATGGCCGGTGTGGACGAGTGGGAGGAGGGGGCGGCCGGCAGGTAACCTGGTAGCCCAGGACGGGGTTCCGCCATGAGTGGCTGCTTACCTGAGCAGATGTTGAAATCCGTGTTTCACAGGCTGAAGGGTAAGTCTGCTGGGGACCAGGGGACACGGTGGGACAGCTCAGGGTTTAGGATGTCTAAGAAACACCCGAACAGAACCTCCTAACGCATTTTAAAGGTCAGAGGTCAAAAAATCGATTTAAGAGAGAGGTTTGGAGAAGAGGGTGCAGGTTCCAGTTGGGTTGCAGATTCCCAAGGCTCCTCCACGGTTCTGGAATGTTCTCATCCCTCTCTCCTCCCCACCCTTCCTCTCCTGTGTGCCATTGCCCACTGTGTTCTGATGCGTCTGCTGTTGTCATGACGGTCATGCCCGCGACCTGCCGGATTCTGGGTCGTCCTCTTGCCTCAGACCAGTTGAAGGCCCTGCAGAAGAACTACGGCAGGCTGCAGCAGGATGTGCTCCAGTTCCAGAGGAACCAGACCAACCTGGAGCGGAAGTTCTCCTACGACCTGTAAGCGTGCCTCTGCATGTGGGGCGCACCCCCAGGGGGCTGCCGTGGGGGTGAGCCGGGGGGTGGGTGTGCGCTGTGCCCACCCTTCCGGTCCTGGCACGTTGGCGCTCTGCAGGAGGCCCAGTGCACTTTATTCTGTACGCGTGAGCCATGCCTCAGAAAGCTGGGCAAGAGGGTTAGCCAGTGGCTCATGATACAGGATACACAAGAGGGTGGTGTTCCTGAGCAGGAAATGATTTATCAACATGCTTTGTAAAGTCACTTTAAGTTTTAAAATGCAGGTGTACCGGTTAAGTCAATAATGGAAAGCCTTTAAAAATATCTGAGCACGGAAGTGCTCAGACATGCCCCATGTCCACCGCCTAGACTGAAAGGCGTCTTGGCATCCTATGAGTGATTTATCTCTGAGTGTCGGCATGTGGACATTCTGTTTCTCTGAGACTTCTAGTGTCTTTCCAGATTTCTGCCGTGAGAATAGAGCACTTTTATTTTTCAGCTTTATTGAAGTATGAGTGACAGATACTCATTGTGTATATTTAAGGTATAAAACATGAAATTTTGATATGCCTCTACATTGTGAAATCATGTCCCCGATGAAGCTAATTAACTATAAACTTCGTGCATGTGTGGTGAGAACACTTAGGATCTACGCTTTCAGCACATTCGAGGTGTGTGTTGTTAGCAGCTGTAGTCCCCATGCTGCCCATTCTCTCCCCAGCTTACAGTTAGGACCGTCCATTTTAAAAGGATGATAACTTCAGTTGCATACAAAACCCCTACACATTTACTTCTCAGAGTATTTTTATGACCAAAAAAAACAATAAACTTTCAAAAGGTTAGCTAAACCGTGTAGTAAGATAGTAAAAACCAATTTAGAGAGCGGAGAATAAGTTCTAGTCTGTGTATTTTTTTCCCCCCATAAAAGCAGCATGGCTCAGGCACAGGGGGTCTGGGATTCAGAGGCAACCAGCCACCTGTGAGCCCATTCCTCTTTTCCATTTGCTGACTTCTCCCTAGTCCGTGTCCAAGGTCATATGGATTTTTCACATCATTGCAGTCACTGGTAACATTTTTAAATCATTGTTTTCCGCTTAACCTGTGTTATATATAAATAAAAGTCCATACTGCTCCAAAATGTATCATTAAAAATGGCTGGTTAATATTGTGGAGGCATGGAATTTAATTAATGATTTCCCTGTTTTGGATAATTAGGTTACTTCTGAGTTTTGATTATTATAACTAGCCTGATATCAATGTGTGTAATTTTTAAAGATTATTATTTTGGATTATTTCCGTCTAAAATAGGACTCGGCTGTAGCTTCAGTGTCATAAATTGCCTAGTTGCCTTCTGAATGAGTTTCCTCACCCCACTGCCCTCACTGGGATTCTGAGGTCCTTCCAAAAGATTGTCCACTCACTGTGATATCTTCCTGATCACTTTAAAACCAAATACAACTAAAACCAGGAAGCCCCAAGTACATAAATATGCAGAGGACATGCACCAACAGTCAATGCAAAGGGAAACGTAATTAGAAAATATGCATTTGGAACCTTCTTCAGCTAGGCCAGTGGTTCTCAATTTTGGGTGGCGATTTTGCTCCCAGGAGACCTTTGGCAATGTCCGGAGACCTGCGGCCAGCATCCTGCAATGCACAGGGCAGGCCCTGTAACAGAGTTTTCTCTGGCCTCAAACATGGTAGTGTTCAGTTGAGAATCCCTAAGCTAGGCTAGTAATCGAGGTACATTCAGACAAAAATGAAGACGGCCCCAGTCTAATTATCATTCATCCTTAGAAGATACCTTCACACACCTTTCCCTTCCATTCATTCAAATAGGATAAGCCTTTAATGGCCTCACTTGATAAATATTGACTCAGAAGATGTTCACCTAGCTGGAAATCAGCAGTCCACCAGGCCCAGTGACGGGGAGGGTGGCCCTGCTCCCCATGTTGGGGCAGACAGCAGAATGGCTAGGTATGCTGGACTCACCCTTTTTCTCTTAGGAGGTTGATGGCTAGATTGAAACTCTTTCTGACTGATGTCAGTATTGAGGTAGTTGTCCCCAAAGTGTTATACTGGATATAGCATGTTTCCTGGGGATGGTGTTCATGGAATGCTAGAAGCTTGAAACAGTTATTCTTACTGCCTTTGGATTATAGACTCTTTTTGAGAATCTGATAAAACGTATGGACCCCTTGTTAGCAATATCTGCAAAGTTGTGCATTCAGTTTGTGGGACATCGGAAGCTTCCCTGCACACCCTCTGTGAAAGCATCCTGTCGGGTCTAAACCCTTTTTAGAAGGCAGTGCTGGGAGTCAAAGAGCTGACAGCAAGGGCAGGTTTCCTGATGCAGAGGTTAGTTCTTCCATATCAGTGTCCCCGCTTCTCACTCCTATACCTGTGGCAGACATTACTAAGTGATCACTGTTCTTGGTCGTTCTTGGTCCACACACTGCCTTGCAGGCTTTCTCCCCAAAGCACTTAGGGTTGGTTTCTCACGTGAACTGCTTGTCATCTCCTCTCCACTCCATGAGGAAATAGTTTGCAAAAGCTGTTACTGGAATAGAACAGCACTGCTCTGATGCTTGGTGTCCTGGATGATCGGGTCGTCCACTTTCATAGATTCCCATATGGCATACATTCCATTTACAGTACTCCACCCATCGATTGCACCGGTTAGAATAACCCTGGCAGCAGGTCCTGTGTGTCTCTACGTTGTAGCTCTAGTTGATGACTGAACGGTTACCATGTGCATGTAAGCAGAAGCTCACCTGAGGCCTTCGGGAAGTCACACCGTCACTGTCCACATGACCTGAGTCGCAGGATTTGAGCTTCGTTCTGAGGTTGTTCCCTTCCTGCTGTGGAGCTGGAATGTGGAAAGCTGGCTTTCACCCGCAAGGCTGGGAGAGAGAGGCTCTTTGTACTTGATTTTGGCAGGGCTGAGAGCAGGTGAAAACTACAGATTTCCCATTTGTAGGTTTTTAAAGGTTCAGGAATGGCTATGCCCCTGTTCATTGGCTGGTACTGAGCTTCTGGGATACCGTCTGCCAACTGAACTGGCATGTTTAGTACGTTCAGGATATAGATGTCTCTGTGTTTAAGCTACTGTGGACTAGTCTACCACCTGTGACTTGCATGTTTGTGAGAATTTTATTTAAATGAACTTTTCAGCGAGTCTTCTCTTGATCTGTATGCTGTCCAAGGTCCAGAAGTCTGTCTTTCACTCTTTCTGCAATACCTGATGCCCTTCTGTGCGTGTGGTTCACGGAGGCCCACAGAGTCCTTTGAACTGCAGGTCACATTACAAAGTTAGGGGCTGAGTGCCGCACAGCTGGCTCTGAAGGGCCCGTGACCCAGAAGAGAGCATGGCGCAGAGCCAGGAAACCCCAAGTCGGGCTTCTGCTTTCAGCCTTATCACTCTCTCACCCTGATCACCTTCCCAGCTTCCTTATGTGTACAAGTGGGTAATTCTCGCAATTACTTTACAACCCTGACACCCAAGATACTCTTAAATTCTAGGCTGAAATGTGCAGTGATGCTTCAGAATATCTTAGCTAAATGGGGGCTCAGTCTGAGTTAGTGATGAGCTCCATCAACAACTCTCTGATACTGGCTGGGCGTCCTCCAGTTCAGTTTCTTTTTCTTTTTCTTTTTAAAAAATGAATCTTAAATTTTGGAAGTTTCAGTTTTACAGAATTATTATAAGAGTCCCTGTATACTGCAGACCCAGTTTCCCTACTGTTAACACTTGACATTGAGTGTTATTTGGCACAGTTAATGAACCAGTATGGATACATCATTATTAACTAAAGTTCCTACTTTATCTGTGTTTCCTCAGTTTTCCCCTAATGTCCTTTTTCTTTTTCAGGACCCCACATTCCATCTGTTCACGTTTTCTTAGAGTCCTCTTGGCTATGACCGTTTCTCAGACTTATTTTATATAATCTTGTTAGTTTTAAGGAGTGCTGGTCAGGTGTTTTGTAGAATGTTTTCCGGTTGGGATTTATCTGGTGTTTTTTTCATGGTTAAACTGGGGCAGCACATTTCTGGGAGGAAGGCCACAGAGGTAAAGTGCCACTTTCATTACTTTGTATCAGGGGCACATACCATCCATATGACCTGTCGCTGTTGATGTTAATCTTGATTACCTTGCTGAAGTAAGGTTTGTCTGGTTTCTTCACCATAAAGTTACTCTGGTATTTCTCCCTCTGTACTGTAGTCTTAGGAAGGAAGTCAGCATGTACAGCCTACACCTAAAGATTGGGGAGTTATGCTCCATTTCCTAAGGGCAGAGTGTCTGTATCAGCTGTTTGGAATTTTCCTGCACAGAGAGCTGGCTCTTCGTAACTACCAAGTTATTTATATCAGTATGGACTTATGAATATTTATTTTAGACTTAGGGTTATAATCCAGTACTATTCTAATTTTTGCTCCCATTGTTCCAGCTTTGGTCATATCCCCAGCATTGTGCCCCTGCCCCCTTTTTGGGCACTTTGTTATACAATCTGGCACCAAAAGATGCTGCGGGCTCATCTCTTGTATATCCTGTTCCAATCCTAGAATCACCCAATCAACCATTTTTTTTTTTTTTTTTAATTGGAGAGTGGTATTAAGCCAAGATCTGGGTATTAGGTGTGATTGTTGCTGGGCCCTGTATCAGCTGCAGAGTAGAGACCTGTGTGTGTACTAACCTGTGTTATATACAGACATTGATGAATATAGGTTTCCAGCTGTATTCATACTAAACCAAGCATAAGTTCATACTGGTGTCTCCAATTCGAAGTTAACAGAATAGTATATAATTGGATATGTTCTCAACTTGGGACAATATGCAAATATTAATATTTTGTGGCTCAAAATACTTTTAAAACTGCCTGTGGCAAAGACTGGCCATTGCTTATCCAGATCCATTATTTTCTCCCCCAATGTAATTCCTGGATTTCCAAACCCTCCTTGCAGTTAAGTATGGCCCTGTGACTAAGTTCTGGCCAGTGGGGAAAGGAAATGGTAGTGCAGGACTGTAGGAAGGCTTCTGAAAGTGAGGACGGTCCACTGTAACCCCTCTCCTTTACCTTTCCCCCTTGTTCCTTCCTGCTGCCTGGGACTCATGCAAGATGGCTGGGCCACTGTAGCCATCTTGGATCATGAGGCTAGAAACCAGTGCCAGGATCATGAAACAGAAAGAGAAGCCTGTATCCCTGATGACTCAGAGCTGCCATCCTGGCGCTGGGCAACCTACATCAGACTTTGATTTGCGGAAGAAGCAGATTGCTATCACTTGCCCTTTCTGTTTCACCCAGCCAAACCTGATATGCTAACTTACCCACTTTTTGAAAGTGCCTTTAGATACTGTTCTTAAACAGTCATTTTCATGAATCCTTATCTATTACCCAAAAAAAGACTTCTTAGGGAAGGTCATTTAGAATGGAATCCTACCAACTGGGGAGTAGAGAAGGGAGGCTAGGACTTGTGCTGGAAAGAAGGAGGACATGAGGAGCTCGGAGTCGTCTGGGCGAGGCAGACTGTATCCTGTGGTCCCCGAGATGAGTGAGGAGGAGTAATATTTGGGGCATGGTTGTAAAGGTGACTAGTTATGTGGGCCCTGCTGGGAAAGTCTTCTTCTCCTTCCTGGATTCTGAGAACAGGGATGTTAGATCTCTGTCATAGTCGTACAGATCCCCCCATGCAGGTTTGTTTGTTTTTCTTTCTTTTTTTTTTTTTTTAAGATTTTATTTATTTATTTGACAGAGAGAGACACAGTGAGAGAGGGAACACAAGCAGGGGGAGTAGGAGAGGGAGAGGCAGGCTTCCCACAGAGCAGGGAGCCCGATGTGGGGCTCGATCCCAGGACCCTGGGATCATGACCTGAGCCGAAGGCAGACGCTTAACGACTGAGCCACCCAGGCGCCCCTGTTTTTCTTTTTTTTACCCCAGTCTGTTTTCTCTCTGTTCCTTTGATTAGGTAATGTCTATTGTTCCGTCTTCCATTTCAAAGATTCTTGCCTCCATTCTGCTACTTGCACTCATTCCTTAAGTTCTTTAATTTTGGTTATTGCATTTTTCAGTCCCACAAGACTCTCCCCTCTTCAGATGATACCCACAAGTTCCGGGTGTCCCCAAGGTACCTTTACTCTGCCTCCTCGCTACAAGTTCAGTGCCTCCTGAACCCCTCAGGGTTGGTAATTCTGTAGGATGACTCACAGAACTCTGCCAAGCGCTGTACTCATGACTACAGTTTTATTATAAGGGCTGTATCTCAGGAATAGCTATAAGGTAGAGTCTTGGTTGTAGGGCCGTTGTAGGGGAGACAGCTCCTTTCCTGGTGGAGTTGGGGTGCCACCTTTCTAGTACATTGATGTTAACCAACTGAGAAGCTTGCCAAGCCTCATCACCCAGAGATTTTGTCTGAGGTTTTACTACATAAATTCCATCTCTACTTTCCCCATTCCTGGAGGTTAGGTGGTGGTAGGGCTGAAAGTTCCAACCCTGTAATTATGGGGGTGGTTCCTCTGGCCACCAGCCCCATCCTAAGGCTGTGTAAGCCAGCACATTAGCATAAACTCAGGTGTGGTCCAGAGGGGTTATTTGACTGACAGAAGACCCACCCATTACTCCGGAAATTCCAAGGGCTTTAGGAGCTCTGTGCTAATAGCTGGGGACAAGACCATATATATATTTATTTTGCCACAGATTGTATTTTTAAAAAGTTTTTTAAAGGTTTTATTTATTTGAGAGGGGGAGACAGAGAGAGAGCACAGAGGGAAAGTGAGAGGGAGAAGCAGACTCCCCGATGAGCAGAGAGCCTGACGTGGGGGCTCGATCCCAACCTGAGCCGAAGGCAGATGCTTAACCAACTGAGCCACCCAGGTGTCCCTAAAAATTATTTTTTCTAACCACTAAAGTTCAGCTGTTTTAGAACAGTGTGACAAATTTGTAGTAAGTTTCAGCAAACTCCAGTTTTCTTGCCATTTAGTAACTGAAACCCACATGCCTTATGTGCCCTCTTGATATCAAGAGCCGGAACCAGGAACAAGATGAGCTATGTCTTACTGACATGGTGGATGCCACGGTCATGGCAGGAAATCCTTGCTGTATAGACACATCCCTAAATATTTGTCTTTCCTTTTGCTTTCTTTCACCAAAGGAGCCAGTGCATCAGTCAGATGAAAGAGCTGAAGGAGCAGTGTGAGGAGCAAATAGAAGAAGTCACTAAAAAGGGAAATGAAGCTGTTGCTTCCAGAGACCTGAGTGAAAAAAAGGACCAAAGCCAGCAGGTAATTTGGCTTCTGGAAGGCATTCTGTTCCCTTGTCTGCTGTCTGATTTGCTCTTATCTCTGCTCTCCCTTGCGGGTTTGGCTCCAGAGCTGAGACACGCCAGCCAGTCCCAGGATGCTGTGACTCTGACAGGGCATGCTGGGCTCTGGCCTTGTCCTTGGGCTCAGAGCTTTACCAGGGTTTCTTCATTTAAAGTCTACAGCCACCGTGGGAAAGAGTTGCTGTTCTGTTTTGAAAGCCCTGAGCCCCATGGGGAGGGTTCAGTACCGTGGCCCCCGCACCAGCTGGTCAGTGGTGGGGCTGATGAGCGCCCACGTAGGCAGGGTTCACGCTCGGCCCATGAAGCCGCTGCTCGAAGCCTTCAGGAAATCTGTGTTTGTTGGTTTTAAATATAGCAGCTTTATTGAGAGAGAATTCACAGACCATACAATTCACCCATGTAATAGTTACAATTTGTTGGTTTTTAGTATAGTCACAAAATTGTGCAGCCATCCTCACAGTCAATTTTAGAACATTTTCATTCCCCCAAATAAACCCTATAACCATTAGCTCTCCCCGTTCACTCCTAGAAAACCATTAATCTACTTTCTGTCTCTATTTTGCTTTATCTGGACATTTCATATCAGTAGAACCATATACTGTGTGACTCCTTTCACTTAGTGTAATGCTTTCAAGGTTCATCCACGTGTTTGCATGTATGAATACCTCATTCCTATTTATGGCTGGATAATATTGTGTGGATAGGCCACATTTTGTTGATTCATTTGTCAGTTGATAGGTATTTGGGTTATTTCTAGTTTTAGGCTTATTATGAATAATGCTATGAATATTCATGTAGGCTTTTTTTTAAAGAAAGATTTTATTTGACAGAGACACAGTGAGAGTGGGAACACAAGCGGGGTAGTGGGAGAGGGAGAAGCAAAACTGTTCAGGGAGCCCGATGTGGGGCTCGATCCCAGGACTCTGGGATCATGACCTGAGACGAAGGCAGGCACTTAACTGACTGAGCTACCCAGGTGCTACCTTTTCTAAATTTTAATTTTTTAAAAAGATTTATTTATCTTAGGGAGTGGGGGGGTGGGGGCGCAGAGAGAGAGAATCTGAAGCAAACTCCCCACTGAGCACAGAGCCTGATGTGAGGCTGGATCTCACGACCATGAGATCATGACCTGAACCAAAACCAAGAGTCAGATGCTTAACTGACTGTGCCACCCAGGCACCCCTCCAGCGTTGTTCTTTTTAAAGACATTTTGGCTATTCTGTGCCAGTTGACTTTCCATATGAATTTTAGGATCTCAATTTCTTCAAAGCCAGGTGGGATATAATTTGAAATTATATTGAATCTGTTGATCAGTTTGGAAGTACTGCCATCTAACAACATTAAGTGTACTGTTCTATGAATGTGGGATGTCCTTCCATTTATTTAAGTCCTTTAAAAATCTTTCAAATAATGTTTTATAGTTTACAGAAGTCTTGTACTTTTTTTCAATTTATTCGTATTTTTTATGCTGTTATAAGTGGAATTGTCTTATTTTCATATTCATTGCTAGTGTGTAGAAATACAGTTCATTTATATTTATCTGCTGTATTGCAACCTTGCTGAACTTTATTTTAATAGTATTTTTTGGTAGGTGATTCCTTTGAATTTTATATATATGGTATAGGAGGGAGAGTTTTACATTTTCCTTCCCAATCTGGATACCTTTTGTTTCTTTTTATTGCCTAATTGCCCTGGCTAGAAGCTCCATTCAGTGTTAAACAGAAGTGGAAGAACAGATATCCTTGTTCTTAATCACGGAGGGAAAACATTCAGTTTTTACCATTAGGTTTGATGTTAGCTGTGTGTTTTCATAAATGGACTTTATCAAATTGAGGAAGTTCCCTTCTGTTCTTTTGTGGCTTTTTTTTTTTAAAGATTTCTTTATTTTAGAGAGAGCACGTGTGAGAGGTGGGAGGGGCAGAGGGAGAGGGAGAGAGAGAATCTCAAGCAGACTCCCCACTGAGCGCAGAGTCTGAGGCAGAGCGCCCATCTCATGACCCTGAGATCATGACTGGAGCCTGGAGCTGAAACCAAAAGTCAGACGCTTAATCGACTGAGCCACCCAGGCTCCCCTTCCCTTCTGTTCTTAATTGTTGAGTGTCTTTATGAAGAGGTGTTGGATTTTGTCAAATTCTTTTTCTCCATCTGTTGAGATGATCATGTGTTTTTTGTCTTTCATGCTATTGAAATGGTATTATACTAACTGATTTTTAGATGTTTCACCTTGCATTCATGGGATTTATCCTACTTGGTCATGGTATATAATCCTTTTATATGTTGTTAGATTTGATTTGCTAGTATTTTGTTAAGGATTTTGGTGTCCATATTCATAAGAGATATTGCCTGTAGTTTTGTAATATTTTTGGTTTTGATATCCAGTAATATTGGGCTCATAGAATGAGTTGGCATATTCCTTTCTCTCTTTCTTTTTTTTTGTTAGAGTTTGTGAAGATCTGGTATTGATTCTTTAAATTCTTTAAATGCTTGGTGAGATTCACTAGTGAAGTCATCTGGGCTTGGGCTTTCCTTTTTTTTTTTT